TATATGTAGGGATGTGGGTCTATACATATGTTGTTCATAGTATGTTTAGGTGTGTGTCATGTATGTGTTTCACTTTGAGAGCGGGCAACTAAATTTCATTTTTGATGTGTGCCATTGTGCCCACAGTATAAAAATGACAATAAATCTTATCTTATCTTATCTTATCTTATCTTATCTTATCTTATCTTATCTTATCTTAATATGTCTGCTCCTAAGAATCCAGTGTTATTTATTCAGTACAAGACTGCAGTCTTAGAAGAAAGCTATTACATATGCTTTGTGATGATTAAATATGCCAAACCAGCTAGGAATGGATTCAGAGTAGAAAATATTTTTAAAAAGATTGCACCATTATACAATATTTAGTAGTTGGGGGGAAACAAAAGGCTTCAGACAGAAGCAGTTTTAAACTATACAACACTTTCTAATGTTTATGACTTTTCTGCGAAGTGGTTCACATCTTCTAACCAATCACATATCCCATTAGCTTTCTCTACAATGTCTACTATTTTCATATAATTCTTGACAGCCTAATTTTCCTTTTATAATCCTACATCACCCTATATATATTTGTGCATTTTATAAAGATTATTTATATTGAAACTTATACAAATTGTACAAATCATAGGTAATTTATTCTGTGTATATGTGTATTTATTTTCTGCTTATAAAAAGGCACTCATGTACTTGAAATATTGTATAAAACACCCTGGCTTGGCAGACAGTAAGTGGAAATTTCTGACTCCTATCGGGTCTCTTCCAATCCTCTGTATATAGTACATTGCAAAGTTAATATATTACAAAGTTATTGCTGCCACAGATATACACACATACATTCTATAAATAGAATATAGTAAAATTAAAACCAAGCAATTGCTTTACTCTGAAGTGGCCATTTCAAACTTAATAATATTGAATATATCCTAAATTGTCAAGTACACATTCTGCATATTAACACGTGATGACTAGGCATGTGCGGTTTACTGTCCATTAGACTACATAGACCAGCAATAGCATATAGAAAGGGCTTTGCCTCTGTGCTACGGCTAATATTTTTACCTTTAAAAGATCCCAAATTCAACTATTAGAAATGGAAGCTAAGTTAGAAAAGACTCAATCAGATTTTTGGAGAACTGCTACTAATCATTTCTAAATTAGATGAATCAATAGTCTGATATTTAAAAAATGCCTATACTTTTATATAAAGTATATGATAAATTCTCAACCTTGTTAGTCAATGTTAGTCAATAATGCTATATATTATGATTTACTATAGCTAAACAATACTTTTTTAAAAAATTTAAATATGCATATTAAAAATATATTTAATTCAGTTAACCTGACATTCAAAAAACACAAAGTCATATTCATCAAAGTTTCTTTTAAGTTTATTGTAAGATATGATTGACATTAGGTAAAATTAAGCCCATTTGGTTTCCACTAATAAAATAGGCTGTGGTGCAGCTTTGTATTATGATGTTAATTAGAAAAAACCCCACTGTTAAAACTATTCTATATAACCTTTCTGATTAAGCAATTAGATAGCATATCATCAGAAAAAATTGCCCTGATTCTAAATATGGAAATAATAAATGTTTTATTATACACCTGATGAACACATAAGTACTGCATCATAATATGCAAAAGAGAATTTAAATTCTGTACATAATGATTAGTTTAGTTATGCATTTTTATCCAAAATCAATTGACCAATGAGGTCATATGACAAAATGGTTTTAAAAAATATCTTCTCAAGTGCTGTTTGCATAGATTGCACAGTTACTTAATTTATAGAATCTTGAATTTGGCAGCATTTAAAGGACTATATGATGTAGTTATAATTCTTCCTTCTTTTAAACACTTGACCCTTGACCCACAGATACTTAAAAAAAAATCTTAAATCATAAAACTTTACAGATTAGCAATTTCCCTTGAGAAATAGTTTTTCCTCAGAACATGTCAGAATAATAAAGCAAATATTTAAAACAGCTGTTTCTTCTTAGAAAATCCCATAAAGTAGCTCTTTCTCAAGTTGAAAGGTGATGGATTCTAGTCCAACACATCTGGAAAGCACTAGGTGGAAGAACCTTTCAGCAGCATTATTTTCCATTCAAAATAAGAGACTAGGATGGGATGGGATAATTGAAAAATGAGTTTTGGAAATTGGTAGGTATGTAACAGAAGTGTGAACTAATCTCCATTCTAAGTTTTCATCTCAAGCCATACTTTTGTAAACTTTGAAGCAGAAAAACAATTGCCTGTGAATTATTCATCTTTTTATTCATCATATATCCAAAATATTATAGGGGTGCAGTGATCTGACAGTGATTTTGCTTTGAATATTTGGCAAACAATCCAATTCCAGATGCACTACTTCAGAAGCTTCCTAATTTGATTTACATCCTCAAAAAGGGAGCTTACAACGATGGCTGTTAATACTTATTGGCTCAAATACCACTTACTCCAAGTCCTAACAACCCAATTTCAATTTTCAAACTCAGTAAGAAGTAATTCTGGGGAAATTTACCTTTTATGGTTTGCCACCTGAGCAACTGATCATTAGAGAAAATTTCCTAGGTTTAGAAATCAGAATGAAGTCAGTTATATGCCAACCTTATACTTTGCAAACACATTTATTAACTTGATGTGCCACTCATCTTGTCCAGAGATTATTTGTTTTTGATGGAAAATGGGCAAATACTTAATTACTTTAGTCCTTCTACTCAGCATGAACTTTTTTAGAACCAGGATTGATGTTTTACCTTTCCTAGTACTTAATGTGAGATTTAGCAAAGTCCTCATGTATGTGATACCCTATCTATGAAATATAAATGTTACTGAAACCACCACATTTATGCTTTTATACTGCCCTATCAGTATAAGACAGCAGTCAGACACAACTAGACAGGAAATCTTTACTTTTTTATTATCACTGTAGCCAAGAAAATTTAATTTGTCATTTATTGACAGATATTGTAGTCATTGTTTACATGTCAGGGGTGGGATTGTATAGTATATTAAAGAAATAAAAATGTTATGCTGGATGAAAACAAGCTATAGAAGATTATTTCCTTGTTTTTTGATAATCCAAGTTTGTGGATTTTTTTTTTAATTTCTCCATAGCTAATGGAGCATTTGAACA